CACGTGCTGGAACACACACTTATTATCTTGATTAACATTTATATGATGGATGGCCTCCCGGTGCAGTGTTACTATCTAGCTAATGAAGGTGATGGCACACATTACAGAGCAAACTGTTTGTACCTAGATCACTTGCTGATGGACCACAGTGAAGTCCATCCCTCAGTCCTGCAGTGCGTAACCACAGCGGAGAGGGTTTTACAACATGCAGATGGGGTTCAGCCTGGTGAAACCGCTACAGCCAGGGCTGAACTCCTCATGTGTGAACTCTAATTTTGATTTTAAATTTGCAAGTTTCTTTGCAAGAAGCACTTTTTACGACTTTTAACATTTTCTCATTGTAATGTTGGTGACATTTTTGAGGGTAAAAGAAAAGGAACCAAGTGTCAACCAAAATTTCTCAACTTTATTCTTGAATACACAGGCAAAAAATAAAATTGCAGGAGTCCCTGATACTCCCGCAACCACAGTGTGTACCTTTTCCCCAGTACAGTCCTGCCTCTGCTTTTGAACAACCTTGAAATCACAGTCCGCTGACCCCGTAGGAGAAGGTGAATTCATGGCAGGCTGTTTCCCTGTCCTTGCTCAGGCTCTTTCCATTCGGTTTCTCCATCCCCAGGCTGCTCACCTTCTCAGAAGAGGGCAGAAAGGGGTGCTCTACCCTGAGGAAGAGCAAAGTGGTGTTTGGATGATTAAAGCCTATTCCCTGGCAAGAGAGGACCTTGGGAATTTAGAGTGTGAGTTCTGGGGTGAAGCAGGGGTTTTCAGACCCTGAATCCCATGTGCAAAGAGAAGCGATGGGCCATCAGCCATGGTGGTGATGCATCGTGCCGAAGGTGGAGGTGGGAGCATCGGCGGTTTGGGTGAGGAACAAAGCATCCCCCTCGCTGAGTGTGGTCATTTCTTCTGCAGACAGGGTGGCCAGAGAGGGACCTGCTTCTGCTGGTGCTGTCCAGGATGCAGCGACAGGGGCACGGGGGCCGGGCAGCAATGCTGGACGGGTGGGCGGCAGCATGGGATGCAGGGGCAGCGATGCTGCAGCGGACGGGGGTGCAGTATTACAGGGGGACAGGCATCCTCCACGGGGCACTGCTCCACTCGCCGCCGGGGCTTGCCGCAGCAACCTGGCTCCTCACTGTGCAGGGGTGGGCGGTACTGCTGCAAAGGCCGGCGGTGGATTTTCACGGGTGGGGAGCAGATGGGCTGCACGTGGCTCACCTCCACTCGCCGTCGCGGCTTGCCGAAATTGCAGCTTTGCTG